TAGAGGCAAAGAGAATGGGTGTTAGCAGGGGTTGTATAGGGCCTGAACCTGACCATGTCAGCCCACCCAGGCCCAATGGGGACCCAGATACAGAAGATGGGCTGGGTGTGAATAAGCCACTACCTCAGTGATGGCGAACCTATGACACACGTGTCAGAGGTGACACACGAACTCATTTTTTTGGTTGATTTTTCTTTGTTAAATGGCATTTAAATATATAAAATAAATATCAAAAATATAAGTCTTTGTTTTACTATGGTTGCAAATATCAAAAACTTTCTATATGTGACACGGCACCAGAGTTAAGTTAGGGTTTTTCAAAATGCTGACACGCCGAGCTCAAAAGGTTCGCCATCACTACACTACCCCCTCCCTGTCAACATACACACACAGATGTGAAGGACAGAGCAAATCCATACGTCTAAATGTGTAAGTCACAGCAAGGTTTGGAGGGAGGGGCAACTCCTTGGTAAAATTAGGCCTTATCTGTCACAAAATAACACTAGCTAACAGGCATTGAGAGCTTACTACAGGCCAGGTGCTGTCCTACACTCTTACAGCTTTACTGCTGCAGCCAGTCTAATAAAAGGTAAGAACTATTATTGTCACCGTTTCTCAGACAAGTGTCTAAATGACTTCTCAAGGTCACATAGTATACAACTAGTGGAACTGCACTCAATCATTAACATAATGTACAATGCAGAGATTCTTAATGTCTTTGGTGCCACGAACTCTTCAGAGGGGTCTAGTGATCCTTTTCTTAGCACATGTTTAAGTGCATTAAAAAATTGCACAGCCCTGACTGGTTTGGCTCAGTGGATAGAGCACCGGCCTGTGGACTAAAGGGTCCCAGGTTCGATTCAGGTCAAGGGCTCATGCCTGGGTTGGCTGCTCCATCCCCAGTAGGGGGCGTGCAGGAGGCAGCCGATCAATGATTCTCTTTCAACACGATGTTTCTATCTCTCCCTCTTCCTTCTTCTCTGAAATCAATAAAAAATTTTTTTAAAAAAATTGCACGGGCTCACAACGATAACTACTATATGTAGCTGAGGTTTTATTAACCACTACAGTTTTGAAGTAATCATGAGTAAAAATATTTTGTGCTATCTGCAACCATTTGATTGCTGACAAAGTCACAGATGCTAACATTCCTGAGGTTGCTGCCTCCATGCCTAACAGAAGCAAATGCTACATTTCAATTAGAGGTTAGTAAAAATGCAGACGTAATTTCCCCTCACTGGAGTACTAGAACCCCTTGAATTCTATAGATTCTGTAGACACAGGGTTAAAAAACCTCTGGTACAATGTCTCTTATGAGGTGACACACAGTTTTCACCAGGGAGCCTGAGAGAAACTGCCTCTATTCCAGAGATTTCGAGGAGTCGTGGGTTTACGCCGAGGTGAGCAAGCCGGTATTAAACTGAAGCGATCCAAGGCAGTGTAGGGATCTGGGACGCCAGAGTAGCCTGGGGAAGGAGGCCGGTGTAGAACACCAGCGGCTGGGACACAGATGGGTCGGAACAGTAAAATGGGACGAGATCTTGACCCGCTATTTGGGTGAGGGTGGGTCCGGATGACACTGTGACCCCTCCAACGCCCAAGGGGAGAGGAGGGGCCAGACACCAGGGCGCTAGGCTGCGGCCCTGGCAAACTGCGGGGACCCACGCCTGTGGCCCGGGGATTAAGGGCACCGCCGCCCAAACCACTGAGTCCAAATCATGGTCGCTGGCTAAGCAGCTTAAAACCTCTGAGCCTCCGTTGCCTCACTGTCAAAAGGGACAATTACAGGCTGGGGAGAAGGGGGAGGACTAAATGAATTAATATAAGTCACTTGGAATGTTGCCCGGCATTAAGGGTGAACTAAACGTTAGCTATGACTACTAATCCAACAGAAGCCCAGGCCCCCGCAGGAGGCCGAACGCCGCCGTCCGGAAACCTCACCTCGTTCTCGGGGAAGCTAGGATCCGGTTCCTCAGTCCCCCAGGATGGGATGCCGGGTACCCGAACCCTCGGCACTCACCTAAAGACGCCCCTGAAGCCGCTCGCAGCTCAATGTGACCTCAGCTAAGAGACTCCTCCGTCTGACCGGAAGCGGAATTAAAACGGGCCGGAAGCCGGCGGGATAGGTGAGTCTTTCCCCCGGGCTAGAGCGCCCTCGGAAAGGCGGTCCCTGAGGCCAAGTAAGACCACGCCCATTCATGAGAGCCCCAGTCTTCTATTGGGCTGATAGCTGTTCATCAACACTCCAGGCCCAATCATGAACTTGCACCGGCTAGTGACAGGTTCTCATCACTTCCTTGGCTTTACTTGGAGAAAGAAATTCTGTCTGGGTCTTGGTGCTGGCTCGAGAGTGGGCCTGGGAAAAGACCCAAGCGGGAGTACCCTTTTCGTGCAAGTTTATTTGTTGAATGCCAGGTACTTTTGTAAGGGTTGAGGATGCATCCTTGAACAAAAGACAACCCATACCCTCTTTATGATTATTTGAGGTCAATTGAGGTCAATTGAAAAAGAACCAGCCTTTCTCGCAGGGTCATTTGTCATGTTAAGAGGAATGCCGGGACTCCACTTCCAAACCCCAGAAAGATTTGGGTGGCTGAGGACTCAGAAATCAGTCCTGCATCACGGAGAGGAGGGGGTAAGAATTAAAACTGGGTTCTGTGAAGGATCTGGCAGAAATCGGTCCATCTGGGAAATTGGCAACTCTATTCTTCTGGACAGTTGTCCTTGACTCCTATCTTTCTCTCACGCCTTATAGCTGATCTATCTAGAAATCCTGTTGGCTCTGCCTTTAAAAATATACTCAGAATCTTCTGCCATCTGGTTCAAGTCACCAGCACCTCCAGCCTGGACTATTACAGTAGCCTACTCCCTGGCTTCCCTACTGCCCTCCACAATCAAGTCCACTCAGCCAGAGGGACCCTGCTAACACCTGTCAGATCATTCCCCTTCCTTAACTTAGAACCCTACCCTGGTGTCTGGTCTGACTTTTAGTCTAAAGCGAAAGTCCTTACAAATGACCTACACAGTTGGGCCCCCCTTTTTACCCTCATCTCTGTAAAAACTGATAAAACCTTATTCAAAATGGAGTTGGAAAATCCTGAAGGGAGAGTTCTCATGCACGCATAATGAAAAAGAAAGATAAGAATTATTAAAAAAATATTTTTATTAATATCAGAGAGGAAGGGAGAGGGAAAGAGGTAGAAACATCAATGGTGAGAGAGAATCATAGAGAGGCTGCTTCCTGCACGCCCTCCACTGGGGATTGAGACCTAAACCTGGGCATGTGCCCTGACCCGGAATCAAAATGTGACCTGGTTCTAGGTAGACTCTCCCTAGAGCAGTGATGGCGAACCTATGACACGCATGTCAGAGGTGACACGTGAACTCATTTTTTTGGTTGATTTTTCTTTGTTAAATGGCATTTAAATATATAAAATAAATATCAAAAATTTAAGTCTTTGTTTTACTATGGTTGCAAATATCAAAAACTTTCTATATGTGACACGGCACCAGAGTTAAGTTAGGGTTTTTCAAAATGCTGACACGCCGAGCTCAAAAGGTTCGCCATCACTGGACTAAACATTTGAAACTGTCATCTTGTCAGCCTCTATCTCCCTTCTCTACTTTATTTCTCCATAGCACTTATCCTCTCAGACATGACATCCTTTTATTGTGTTTACCTTCTTTTGTTTTCCTCAATGTAATAGAAGATCGTAAAGGAGCAATTTTTGTCTTATTCACCATTGTATCTCCAGCACCTGAAATATCACCTGGCACATAGGAGGTACACTATAAATATTTGTTGAAAGAGTGAATTTCTTGTGTGAATAAAGCGCCTAATGGGGACTGGACAAAGTAGCTGTGGGAAAGAACTGCTTTCATCCTCCTCTTGGTCTGGCCTTCAAACCCTCCCATATACTGTGTTGGGTGCAGTGCCCAGGCCTTACTGGGTCAGGGGCTTCTTATATTCTGTGTTCATCAACATTGTAATTATTTGTGGAACTACATGTTTATATGCCTTTATTCACTCCCTTCAACAAAATCTTCCTAAAGCCCAAATCCTTTCCATGATTAACCTCTCTATGGCTCCCCTGTGACCTCAGGACAAAATCCAGGCTCCTTAGCATGGCCCCACAGATTCTTTGTGAACTGACCCAGGGTCCTCTCTCCAACCACAGTGATATTTCAGTTCATTGAACAGTGCTATGAGATCTCCTACCTCCAGGCCTCTGTCCATGCTGCTTCTTCTGCCTGGAACATTCTTTGCCTGACTTCTAAAATCAGCTGTTTTTTCCCTCCCGGAAGCCTTTCCTGACCTCCTCTTCCCCAGGCAAGGTAAGGTTCCTCCTTTTGGATCCCTCCATACCCTGGAGTTTTCCTATCCCAGCCCTGACCACTCTGGGCTGTCCCTGTCTGGTGATGAGTCTGTCTCCCTTAAGGGCAGGGTCCAGAGTTGCCTTAGTCACTGTTGTATCACCAGCATTCTCCACAGGACCACTCAGAAAGCTCTCTTTAGGGGCTCAGTGGTTCCCAGAATGGGCAGGCTCTTCTTGGAGTCTAGGTCTGAGTTCTATGTTCCCCAGCTTGGGTGGGGAAAGAGTAGGTGGCTTGGAGGAGGGGGGGAGGCGGGAGGTGGTGGTAAGCACTAGGTCTAATTCCTTGCCAGTCCCTAACATTGTGAGAGCACACAGTAAGCCCTTTTTGGAGCCCCAGTCCTCTTTTCAAGGGGGACAGAGTAGGAAAAGTCACAAGTTAGTGATTGGGTCTGATTTCTTTACAAGTTCCAGCACAGGGCAGGCACACAGTAGAGCCTGTGGGGGTACTGAGTTAGAATCCTTTGCATGTCTCATCACACATTGAGCACACATTAAGTCCTCTAGGTCTGGGTCTATTTTGGTCATGTGTGGGAGGGGTTTGGTGGGTGAGGGTGCACACAGGCTCCCCAGCGGGTCTAGGGGCCTAGTCAATATCATTGAGAAGGATGCAGACAGCACACGAAGGAAGTTTGACCGGATATTTTTATTGGGTTGCTGCTCCCTGTCGGACCCTAACCCCAGCGTTGTCTGGATAAGCTAGGCCGGGCACGCGGCCCCCAAAGCGGTACGTGTACTTGCGCCCACCGCTCTTTCGCACGATGTCCCGGCGGTAGTAGTAACGCAGGCCTCGGCTCAGCTTCTCGTAATTCATGCCGGGTTTTCTCTTGCGCTCACCCCACAGTCGCGCCACCTAGGGCGAAGGCCAGGCTTAGTCAGAGAAGGTGGGAGCGGGAGGGCTTAGCAATAGATGGGCAGGGTTCCGTAAAGTCCGGACACAGGTTAGGTAGGGCAGAGTGTGGTTGAGGTGAGGGCATGCTGGGCGGACCAAGGGCGAGGCAAAATGAATGGTGGTGCTGAGTTAAACTAGAGGAGCCTAGGGCCGGACTGGGCGGGTCTGGGAGGCTGCCCCACCTCTTTGGGGTCGCACAGTTGGAACTCGAGGCTGTTGCCTGTCCAGCGGATGCAGCTGCTACGCGCCTCGTCTTGGAGCAGCTCCAGGAGGAACTGCCAGAGCTGAATGGGACCTGCGGGGGGCGGCAGGTGAATACTCAGGTTTTCTGGCCCTGGTCCAGGTCATTTCGATGACCCAGGAGTCTGGGGTCCCTCACCTCGAAGGTCCAAGGGTCCAGGCTTCCCCAATCGGGACCTAGGAGTCCGGATCCCCTCCTCCTTGGGGACCAGCGAGTCCAAGTCCCTCCATATAAGGGACCCAAGAGTCAGCCTCAGGCCCCATCTCGGAGATTTGGGAGTTTGGCTGCCCGCTCTGAGACCTCGGCATCCAGACCCTCCTGTCTTCCCTGTCGCCTGATTCGGGAGCTCAGGTCTTAGTCCCTTGCTCCCTAGAAGACTGACTACCTTGGACTCCGGAGTGCGGGCTTAGGCACCTAAGTCCCGCCCTCTCCGCCAGTTTCCCGGGTCCCACCCCCTTCGCCGTCCAGGCCCGCCTCCCTAGACTCCAGCTTCGCTCCCTGCAGACCAAGTCTCCGGACCTCTCACCTCGGTGGTTAGTTTTGGGGTAACGTGTCAAACTTGCGCGGTCCAACTGCTGCTTCGGTTCGGAGGAAGCGGTGAGATCGGAACTCTGGTGCTCCTTGGAAGAGGTGGGGCAAGCCGTATGCAGCCCCGAGTCCCAGGAGGTGGGACAGTCCGAGCCCCCAGGCCCGCCCCAGGGAATGGAGTCGGCGCGCCCCTCCGCGCGGAGGCCCTGGCTCCAGTATGCGGCGCCGTGGGAGCCAAAGGGACAGTCCCGGCCGGGGGAGCTCGCTGTGGTGGGGGCGCGCGTCCACGAGTGGGTCCCGCCCGCGGAGATGGTAGTGTGGTGGCCCACGACCCCCGGAGACTCAGCGGAGGGGGCGGGGCCCAGCGCCGGCGGGACTCGGCTCCAAGCGTCCCACCCGGTGCATCCCCGTTGTATCCAGTCTCCTGACCACGAAGGAGCCTGAGAGGCGTGCTCTGCGAGGAGGAACGGACCGCAGTGAGGGGAGGCCAGCTGTCCCGCCCCCTGGCCCCCTCAGGAGTCCCCTGGCTCCCGGATCTGGGCCAGGCCACGTGGTGGACACAAGCGTCCCCAGTCCTATCTCCATTTTCCCTCAAAAAGTCAGGGAAGCTAAACTTCAGCCATGGTGGAAGACCCCAGACTCCTTCCCCGCCTCTCCGCACACACTCACCCGCCCCCCATGGAGTTTCTGGGTGCGGTGACGCGGAGATCCGGTCCCAATGTGGGAGTCCTGCGAGGGGTAAAGATGTAGCTGAGTTTAGGGAAGGGTGTGAGCACCCCCGCAACCACTCTCCCAGTAGTCTTTATTTGTCGGCGACTGGGAGTCCCTATTACCCGCCCCTACTCATGCAGACCTAGGACTCAGGACCCAGCCCCCTCCTCTTTCAACCTCAGGAGTTCAAGCCCGCAGCCCTCTCCCCACTAAACCCCAGGAGTCCAGGCACGCCCCCTTCCTCCCTCAGACCTAACCTTCCCCAGCACCCAGGGGGCCCAGCTCACAAACACCTTTCCAGCATGTCTCTTCTGTCAGTGTGTCCCCTTGGAGCGCCACTTCAGGGAAACAGAAGCCGAGCTCAGCTCCTTCTGCAGGCAATCAGATTCGGGCTGGTCAGGGTCAGCGGAGGCCCCCATCTGGGCACCGCCCCCCCCCCCCCATACACACACACAGTTCAGCCCCACAAACCTACCCAGCCTTGACAGTGTGTTTCCCAGGGGCACTTCCTGTGGTGATGCTTCATCCCACTTCCACAAGTCCATGGATGCTTGTTGTGAATGTTCTGGGCAGTGGCGAGGAAAGGCACAGGGTGAGCTGGGGACACTAGGGACCCTGCAGTCTGGGCCCCAGCCCTTGCTTCTCTCAGACACAGTAGTTCAGCCCTCTGCTCCCTTCTTCCCCAGGACCCTGGAATCTTGGCCTCCAGTGTCCTTTTTGCTCAGACCAGGAGGGACCTCAGCCCTTTTTCCTCAGACCCAGTAGTCCAGACCTCCAGTCCCCAGTTCATGATGGCTCACCTCTGGTGGGTTCCTCTGTCCCCACCTGGGGGTCTCAGCCCCATTTCATACCATGCATCCCCTCCCCTGGGGGCCTGGACAGGGGGGAATTTTCCAAGACGTCAGAGCTGGGGGTTGAAGCTAGGTCGAGTTGCAGGGGGCTGGGCGGGGCTGAGCTACACTCCTCTCGCCTCCCCCCCCCTCAGGGATGGCCGCCTGCCTCCTGTAGCTGGGGCTGTCCTGCTGCAGGGATGGCTAGGACTTGGACAGAAGCTTGGGGAACAGCAGGCTGGGCAATGGGGGATGCAGGGGAGTGATGGGAGTGGGACAGGGGGCTTGGTGGACAGGTTCTCCATCTTGGGGACTTGATTCTGCGAAATGGGTGGTGGGGAGGAGGGTTTGGGTACAGCTGGGCTGGTCCAGGCTTATCTGCAACAGGAAGGGGGATTTCCGGCCAGACCCTTGGTCTGCCTACGTCACAATCCACAGGGGGACTGAGGGGGATGGGATGGAGGGGAGGCCTGACCAGGCTTTGAGTTCTCCCCTTCCAGGGCTTTGAGGACATTCCGGGGCTGCTCTGGAGCAGCATCAATCATAACAATAGCATTAAAAAAATAAACAATAACAACAGAAATAGCCCGCCCTAGTTGGGCTGCAGGTTTAATTCCCAATTAAGGGCACATACCTGGGTTGCAGGTTCCATCCCCTGCCCTGGTTGGGGCGCTTGCGGGAGGCAACCAATCAATGTGTCTCTCCCTCCCTCCGTTCCACTCTAAAAAAATAAAAATAAAAAAAATAGAATTCAATCGAAAAAATATCCTTGGGTGCGGAGTATTAACAAAAAATAACAGTAATACTGATAGCTAACATTTTATTGAGGGCTCATTGCATGCCACCAACAGTGCCATGGGCCTTCATTTAATTTTCTTATGAGGTTGATACAAGTCTGATCTCTATTTTATGAAAAGAGGAAATTGAGGGAGACTTTCTTCATCTCCAGAGTCCATGCCCTTCCATGCTGTAATAGTTTGGGACAAATGGGAAATTTGAGTATAAACTGGATATGACATATAGAATTACTAATTTTCTTAGATGTGACAGTGGTATCATGATATGAATGATGTCTCTATAATGAAATGAACACTGAGATATTTAGGGGTGAAGTATTATGATATCTATAACTTGCTTCAAATGATTCAGCAACCCTCCCCAGGTCTTTGTTTTTGAGCCTCTCTCTCTCTTCTACCCATCTCCAGTCCCATTGTACTGCCTCACAGTACTCATATTTCTTCATTTTTCTGCTTCCTTCCTCACCCTTCCATTTCTGTCCATCTGTCTCTCAACTCACAATCAATCTCTCTCTCTGTTCTCAGGAAGATTTAAATGCACACTTTAAAACCCTATTTTCTGGCATTATTCTCCTTCCTTATCTCCTCCTTTGCCCCTGTGGTTAGTCAGCAGAGGCAGGGCAGGAGTAGGGAGGGCTAATGATATGGGGGTGGGGTGGGGTTTGAGGGTCCCCAGGCTGGGTGGTCCAGCCCAGGTGGCAGGGGACTGAAAGGCACTTCCTGCTGGGGAAGGAGGCCCTCACCCTCTGACCAGACTGGAAAATGTGACATCAGAGAGGGGGCAGTAAAGGCGAAAGACAAACAGAGGGAATTTGACACCTCTCCTGGGTGGCTAACTTCCCTGAGACTGGCATTGTTTCCCACTTCCCTCTTACCCGCTACCAATCCAGGGTTCTGACCACTATGCTCCTGGGAGACCCTCATCCCTTCCTCATGCTGGAACCATGCCATCTCCCACCTCTGCTTCATCCCTGCCCCAGCCCTTTCTAGACCTCCAGCCCACAGTAGTCTCAGGACTTTCTAAAGTGCAAATCTGTGATGCCAGTTCCCTGCTTGAACTGTCTCAACTGCTGCCTTTGTGGTAAAGTCTAAGCTTTTAGTCTGGTTGGTATTCAAGGTCCTGCATGGACACTTCTTCAGACAGGCAGAGACAAGCTTGGAGCTGGGAAGAGACCTACAGATACAGAGATAACTGATTCAGAGAGATACAGAGGCATAGCAAGGGACAAACAGGGGCACTCACAGAGAAAGACAGAGAAACACTCAAGGAGACTAGAGAGAGTGTTTACAGAATGAAAAAATTGGGAAACAGTCTCGGAGATCCAGGTGAGAAGTGCAGACTGGGAGAGAATGACAGAAGAGAATGAGAGTCTCAGAAGTGACCAGTTCCTAAGGGGAAGCCCTCCTGGATTCCCAGGTTGCACCAAGCTTCCCCATCCCAACCCTGACCCATCTGAGCCGTCACTATCTGACACTGGACCAGGAGCTCTGAGGAAATGACCTGGGACTGCTTATCACCAATGTATCTCTCGCACTGTGGGGCCCTAGGTAAGTTTGCTGAAAGCCTAGAAGGCTATGAGCTCCAGAAGGGCAGGGCCCAGAACCCCTACCTTGGTGCTGAGAACACAGGCTGGAGTCAGAAGAGCATGGGTCTGAGCCTCAGCTTGGCTTCAGCCCTGCCATAGCCCCAGCTTCCTCTTCTGTAGAATGGGTTGCACTTAGCGTGCACTTAAGAGGTCTCCAGATGTTATGGGAACTCAGGAGGGACTGAAAAATGCCCATCTGCATTTCTGTCTGGGTTAATTCTCAAAGCTCCCCACTATTCCCAGGTGGAGGATGCGCTAAACCTTGCACCCCAAAGAGTGCTTTCAAGCCAAGCCAGCGATGGAAATGAACAAAAATTTATTGACACTCGTTTTGGGGAGGATGGGTGGGTGAATAGTTGGGGGCTTTCCAAAGATAACTATGGGGAGGAGCCAGCGCCCGGCCAAGTGGGAGCGGGTGCCCAGCCACAGACCCTATCTCAGGCCCAACTTCTTCTTCTCTTTCTGCTTCTTGCGCACCACATCCAGGTTCCGGTCCTTCCACATGCTCTTGCGCAGCTTGATGGGGCGAGAGCCCACATACTTCCCTGTGAGAATGGAGATTTCAAGGTCAGGTTAGGCCAGATGCCATCACACGCACTGTCCCTAGGGGAAGCCTCACTCACCATTCATCTCACGCATGGCTCGTACATAGTCGCTGGGGTCCTTAAAGCTAACGAAGCCATAGCCCTTGGTCTTGCCTGTGCGCTTGTCACGGATCACTTTAGCCTTAAGGAAGGATGGGAAGCGGCTGAAGGCACGTGCCAAGATGTCATCATTCACCTCATTGCCCAGATCCCCACAGAAGATCCGGAAATCATCTGGGGTTGAGAGAAGAGAGGTCAGAGGATGTAGATGCCTGGTCAAGTGTCTGCCTTATTTAAAGAACCTCAACTTCTTTGGAGGCACCTGGCCCCCCCAGCCATCCTCCCTTTGTATCCCTCAGCAGTGGCCCCCTTAGTAATAACAGCCAACACCTGTACAGTATTTACCCATACTAGGCTGTCCGCTAAGCACTCATGAGGTTAACACATCCGGAACTCCCAACAACCCTTTTACACTGAGGCACAGAGAGGCCAAGTGGCTCAAACAGGAAATGGTAGAACTGGGACAAGAACTCAGGCATCTGGCTCCATAGTTCTTTTAATTAATTGTACTATCCTTCCCCACCCTAGGGACATCTTACCCATTCCCATGATGAAGCCCCTAACTCTGTCCCAGCCCTGGCTTCTTCTCTGAGCCCTTGGTCTCCTGGATACCTCCCCATGGACATTCCCTGGGTCCCTGACACTGCTGGCTCCCATAATGGCCCCCTAGTACCACAGACTTCATCTTTCCTCAGCTCTGCTTTCTCTGCAAAGCCCACTCTTAATTCCCACTTGAGACCCTGAAACCTGAACACATTGCCTGATCCTTCTCCAAGGCTGACATCAGTTGCCATTTCCAGATATATGCTCTGGGCTGAGCCTCAACTGATCATGCTTACGCCCAAAGAATCTCTTCCCCATGAAGCACATACTATTATTATCCCCTTGTTGATGAGAAAATGAGACTGGAAGGGCTAAGTCACTTGGCCAATGTCACAAATCTAAGATCTACATCAGTGGTTCCCAAAGTGGGGCACACGCCCCATAGGGGGGCAATTCAAGGATGAGTTACTATCTGAATCTTTTGCATTTCTTATGGTTCTAGGAGCCTCATATACATATATAAACATATATGGTGACATATTTATGCATTTTAGTTCTATTATATGTTTTGAAACTTTCTATTTTTTCATATCACTTCATATTATATTTTAACAATTTCTTAGTGATTTCTTTCTCAATACTTCAACTGTCCTTTCTTTATTTTTCTCTTCCATGAATGCCATGTTCTTTGGAAGCCTGTGTAGACCAACTTAATGGCCTTTTAGGCTTTCTCCACGTGAATAGGAGTTCACTTTTTGAATAATAAAAATTATATGTCACGGGGTTGGGGGGGCATCAGGATTTTAGAGATGCTTAGGTGGGGCAGGGCCAAAAAAAGGTTGGGAACCACTGGTCTACAACCTGTACTGGCCACATCTGGGCCATGCTGCCATGGCCATGGCCTGGGGTGGTAAACTACCCAAGAAGAACATGTAGAAGTCAAGGACTGGGATGGGAGGTAGGTACCTTTCTTCACCTACAACTGGGGCTGCCTCATTGTTTCTATGGTAATTAAGGACATGCTAGGCCTGTGGTCGGCAAACTGCGGCTCACGAGCCACCTGCGGCTCTTTGGCCCCTTGAGTGTGGCTCTTCCTAAGCCTTAGGAGTACCCTAATTAAGTCAATAACAATGTACCTACCTATATAGTTTAAGTTTAAAAAACTTGGCTCTCAAAAGAAATTTCAATCGTTGTACTGTTGATATTTGGCTCTGTTGACGAATGAGTTTGCCTAACACTACGCTAGGCCAACCCAGGAGACAATAATCTGACAAACTCAGAGGGTGAGACCTTCTACAAGACAACTGGTCTGGACACTTCATATAACTATTATACATAAGACAAGGCAGTGAGAGGGAAACCATTCTCATTAAAAGATAATCTAGAGCCCTAGATTATCAGTGGATAGAGCGTCGGCCTGCAGACTGAAGGGTCCCAGGTTTGATTCCGGTCAAGCGCACATGCCCAGGTTGTGGTCTTGATCCCCAGTAGGGGGCATGCATGAGGCAGCTGATCAGTGATTCTCATCAGTGATGTTTCTCTCTCTCTCCCTTTCCCTTCCTCTCTGAAATCAATAAAAATATAAAAAAAATATCTAGAGGCATAAAACTGTATGTATCCTGATTTGGGGGAAAATGGCTATAACAGACAGTTTGGGGGAGAACTGAGTTAATTTGAATATAAATTGAACATGAGATACCATAGAATTTTTGTTAATTTTCTTAGATGTGTTAATGGTATTATGACATGAAAGAGAATGTCACTTTTCTTAGGAGATGAATACTGAGGAATTTAGGAGTGAAGTGATAACTTAATCTATAACTTGCTTCAAATGATTGAGCAAAAACCCAAAAAGCACATATACACACAGAGAGATAAAATAAATATAGCAAAATAGTTGCTGAATCTAGATGGCATATATGTTGCTCTTCACTGTGCAATTCAGTGTTTAACACTTTTCATAAGAAGTTGGGAGAAAAAGGAATGTTTTCAAGCCAGGCCCCTCATGAATAAAACAGAGGCCAGAAGGTCCTCAGTGCCAGTCACCTCCATTAAGTTCTGTTCAGTGGCTGGATGAGGGCC